CTTTTAGGGCCATTTTTTTGCATGATAGATTAGCCCTATTTGTGTTCTTTTTTTAGACTTGTTATAAACTGGAAATATGCATGTTTTGGGACTGTCTTGCATCTGTCTTCATGCCTCATGATCAAATAATGCATGCTTTGTATAGCTGTAAGTCATTCCGTGTGCCTAGTTTCGAGTTGCGGGTTTCATCTCATGCATCGGGTGCCATTTTTCCATGTTTTGGGGCTGTTTAGCATCATACTTCAGTGCTGGAATTTGAATGTTCATATGCCATGTTTCATCATTTTCCATGCTTAGTTAGAGTTGCGTGTTGTATCTTGGGATCGGTCCATGCATTGGACATGTTTGTGTGCATTTCGGTTGCCTCATTTCCATCTTATTGGCCACCGATGTGAGTGTGGCTGAGGTCCACTCACATTGGTATAAGTCCATCCTGCATTGTGTATGCCATGTTTCAATACGTTGTGCATGTTATGTCGTTAGCATTGTGTGTGCCATGTAGCTGCATTGCATGTTCGTATGATTGTTTGCATGCTTAGGTCGTATGTGCATCATTGTGCATTCTCTTGCCTTTGATGTGTTTTGTGCTTGCATTTCATTTGATATCAAAGTTGCACAATTGGCTTTTGGGCCATCATGCATTGAAGTACGTAATTGATGGCCCGAGGGTCGAGGGCTATGCTCCCTTGAGTCCATTGCATGATAGGGAGAATGGCCATGCATACATTGCTTTGAAATTCCTTGTCATGCACTGTCTGCCCTCTGCTGCTGTCAAAAACAGGTTCTGCAGGAATATTTGGCCTGCCGGCCACCTATACTGCCGACCGGCCATTCATTATTTGCCGATGGATTTAAAAATGGTTGATAACCATCCGGACATGGCCGGTGAAAATTCTACTTGGTCGGTGATGCTCCCCAGTGTCCAGAGAGTTCACCTTGGGAGTTGCACAATTTTCGGAGGAGCAAGGCAGTGTAAATAGAGGCAACAGTGCCATGGTACAGATTTTTGGGCAAGGCGAGTCAAGCATGCATTATCCACGCATTTCGAGGCAGGGGCTGTGGCCACTTTAATTCTTTGTTTAAATTGTTAATTAATTGGAACTTCTGTAATAATTAATTTAGCACTGTTCATTCGGATTGTAATATTTATTCGGACCCTCCGAGCGAGGGCAATTGTGTAATAAGTGTGCGTGAGTGTGTGTATGTCTTCCAACCCCACGTCTTTCTTCCCTTTTATTTATCCGCTTATGATGGTAGACTAGAGCATATTTAAATTAGCATACCTTATGCTATGCATGCGTGCATTCATACATTTGTCTTGCATGCACCGGGCTCGGCGCATCATTCTAACTGCATTTGTATTTCAATTCCAAATTGAATACGTGATTAGTTGTAGCATTTCACATGTCATTATAGATTAGCCGAGCCTATCTTAGTCGCATTTTGCATGTATTGCATTAGCCATCTTAACATGAATTAGGATCATGCATATGATTACTAACTAGTTTTTGTTTTGGCTCGGAGTACTCGGCAAGCATTCATGCTTTAGCATACCGCATGCGTGTAAGTGTTGCCATAACAACATGATTACCATGAGGCTAGCCGCTTATGTGATATAACTGCTTGAATGCCTGTGGATGGAGGTTGAATTACCTAAATTGGAATAATGCATTAAAACTGTGAGTTTTAAGCCCACTCAATAATGACAAAACCATTTTTTTCTAAAAATCCACATAAGGGTGGCAAAACCTGCATTTTAGCTTACTTACGAGTAGTAAACCATTTTCAAAACAAACATGCTATGTTTTGTTCCAATTTAGGCAATTTGGTCTATACTTGTTTGCTGTGCACATAACATAGTAATTCTAGGCTAATAACCGGAATAAGAACACATAACGTTTTCAAAACTGGATATCATGGTTAGTACAGGCCGATCTTCGGATCGGGCGAGAGGGGGTGCTCATAGCTGACCTTCCCCAATCGTACCCAAGCTCCCGAGCCGAGGCAACTTTGGTCATGACGGACACGTGGCCTTTGGCACCGAGTCAGGGTTTCCTAAATTCTCCCAAAAATAAATATTTAGGTGGCGACTCTGTATCTGGCAAAGCAGTCCATGTTTGGCACTTCTTTTCAAAATCTGTTTCTCAAAACGATTTGCCGGATTTGGACTCTTTGGTTCAGATTAAGAACCGTGACACAAATTGAGTCCGAACTGTAGCGAGGCCCCCGGGCGCGTCTACAGTCATGTCTTCAAATCAAAGTTGGTGCATGCTCTACTGGAACCACAAATTGTAATGAGAATTGTTGAGAACATAACACAAATGGTGTGTGTTGTGACACCACCAAACATATGATTGCATATTAATTTAAGGAAAACAACATCACTTATTGACATACATTTATAAATTAACACAGTTCAGGAAAAAACAACTAACAACTTGAAGAAGCCTAAACAAAAACTAAAGCAAAGACAAAAAAGATCAGATGCGAAAATAACAGTAGATTGACTAGATGCTGTCAAGTAGGATAATTTTATATCAAAAGGAAAATAGGCGTACTCCACGAGAAGAAGAGATATAGAAAAATGCTGCAAATCGGGCTAAGGAAAAAGCTGCTGTGAGTAAACTCTGTGGCTATAGAGATAATTGGCATGAATGAAAATATTGTGTGAGATAAGAAAAATCAAAAAAACCATGGAGCTGCCACCACCTGAATATCTTTACTGCCCTTTATCTGCTAAAATAGATACTCAAAGAGTTAGTAATAAAATTAATGTGCAAAAAATTGTGCTTATAAGCACTTTAGCAGAAAGAGCTGCAAACGACAGTAAGCTGTTGAAACAATTAACCAATCGAAAACAAAGGGTGTCTCCTACTGATAGTAAGGCTGTGTTTGGATCATGTTTGAATTTGGGTAACATGATCCAAACACTGCGTAAGGGTTTCAGTGAGAAATAGAATGATCAAGCTTGGGCCTAATTAAGAGAAGAGATGCAACTTCAGAAGAAGCTTGGTGCAGAAGCAGAACAACCCTAACATAGACCCAAATCAATTAGCCTTGGCAGACTTGCATAAAAGGAGAAGGGGCTAACAATTTACCACACAACTATGGCAAAAAGGAAAAACTTTATGAGAATTGGGTAAGATGCGAGGTAAGAGCAAAACCAGAAGAGAAGTGGAGAAAGGGAGAAGAAGATGAAGGCTCAGAAATAATAAAATCAATGTTTGGTTTAATGGAATGAAGGCTAGAATACTCATTTATATATTTGGTTTGGTAAAAAAAAGAGGAATGCACATTGTAAATGCAATCACCAAAATGACACAATCTAAAATTAAGATTCAAAATTGAGCCGATTAAAAATATAAAGATCAAGATAAATTCAATTTCCATTCAGATCGTTCGTGTCTCAAGTCCCTAATCAATTCTCTTGTTTTCTTTATATGATTTTAACTTCTCTCATCATATCAATACTCAAATGGCCATTGCTATTTCAGCCCCAACCTCAAAACTTTTTCATTCTTATAGTCCTAATTATGAAGATTTGTGATTTCAATTATGAATAAAATGGCGCTTACACTATAATAAAACTGAGTTTTTACGGCTCCACATTAACGACATACAGTAAATGCATGCCGTGGTTTATCACTTTTACGACTTATTTTTTTTGCATGTCGTAAATAATCTCCCAACCACGGCGTGTCTATTGCGTACGCCGTGAATGCTAATAATGATGATTTTTTTACGGCTTGCAATGTTAGTCGTAAATAATAAAACTTTCTATGACGTGCATATGGCATGCTGTTAATACATTAACTATACACAACGTGCGTATACCAGTCGTTAAAAATATTGAACATTTCACGGCGCACAAAAAGCCAACTGTTAAAAATATTACACTTTTTACGACACACAAAAAGTCAACCGTTAAAAAAGACACTTTCCATGACGCACATATATTAGCTGTTCAAAATATTTTATTTTTCACGACACGCAATTTCTCTCATAAATAGTATGATCAAAATAAAAGTTTGAGCACCCATTACTTAAAATATATATATATATATATATACATATATTAAAATTTTGAGCTTCTACAAAATAACTCTTTGCCTTCTAATTAATCTAATCAAAAAGGGTTTAATCTAATCAAAAAGGGAAAAGGGTTTAATCTAATCAAAAAGGAAATAACTCTTTGCCTTCTAATTAATCTAATCAAAAAGGGTTTAATCTAATCAAAAAGGGAAAAGGGTTTAATCTAATCAAAAAGAGTACATACGGTTTCAATCTCTCTCTCTCTCTCTCTCTCTCATGATTAAGGCTGAATGAATTGCTAAGGGTTACTAGGCTCATCTCATCTCCTCTTCGGCTGTGAATCTGAAATCAAAGGAAGGTTTCAATCTCTCTCTGGACACCCCTTCTTCTTCTAGGTCTTCATCTTCATCTTGAACAGAACCAAAAAAAATCCCTCTCTATTAGGGATGGCAATGGGGGTTAATGGGGTGGGTATTAATTCCCCATCCCCATTCCCCTATAATAAATTTTCCCCATTCCCCATTCCCCATTCTCCATGGGTACTACCCTCCCCATTTCTTAATGGGTTTGGATTTTCCCCAACCCACTTTAATCCCCATTTTTATTTTTTATATTTAATGTTAACAACCAATTTTTTTTTTTTTTTTTTTTTTTTTTTTTTTTTTTTTTCACAACAAAAGCTAAATATACCTTCAATCTTTTTTCTTTCTATTTTAATATATTTAATGTTAACAACTTATTTTTTTTAAGATTCACAACAAAAGTTAAATATACATTCAATCTTATTTTATTTTATTTTGTTCAACAACAAAATCAAATATACATTAATTAATTAATTAAAAAGTTTGTTTTATAATAATCAAATATATAATTTTGAGACAATCAAATAAGTTTTAGTAATTGAAAAAAAAATTAAAAAAATTGTAACAAATCAAAATGCACATCAAAGATCTTAAAGACAGAACCAATAAAATAATGTCAAAAAACTCTTTGCCAACCAAAACCCACATATGAATAACTTCACTCTAAATACACATGTACGTTAAAGTATCTATCAGTGTAATTCTAAACATCATAAATGAATTGCACAGAATAATTAAAGTAGTTAGATGTTCATAGTAAGGCTTAATTCAACTAGAAGCAAAACACATTAAACTCCCGATGCACATTCTTTGACATTTCAGCTCCCAACTCAACAAAGTGCATTCTTTGACATTTCAACTTTAAGTCTTTACAAGTTTCTTACAGTAGCAACACTCCAGTAACAGCAACATTCCAACAGCAGCAACCCTCCAGCAACAAAACCTACACAAGGATAATAAAGATTATTGATGAATATTGAACAATTGATTATTGAGAGTTGTTTTGGAATTGTAATTCCCAATTTATTCTTCTTCCTAGTGCTGCATCAACATGACTGCAAATTTTTCCACTTGTGGTAACTTGTAATTCACTTGTGGTAACTATGGTTGTAATTCACCTTAAATACATATACTCACTTGTGGTAACTATGGTTGTAATTCACCTTAAATACATATACTCACTTGTGGTAACTATGGTTGTAATTCACCTTAAATACATATACTCACTTGTGGTAACTATGGTTGTAATTCACCTTAAATACATATACTCACTTGTGGTAACTATGGTTGTAATTCACCTTAAATACATATACTCACTTGTGGTAACTATGGTTGTAATTCACCTTAAATACATATACTCACTTGTGGTAACTATGGTTGTAATTCACCTTAAATACATATACTCACTTGTGGTAACTATGGTTGTAATTCACCTTAAATACATATACTCACTTGTGGTAACTATGGTTGTAATTCACCTTAAATACATATACTCACTTGTGGTAACTATGGTTGTAATTCACCTTAAATACATATACTCACTTGTGGTAACTATGGTTGTAATTCACCTTAAATACATATACTCACTTGTGGTAACTATGGTTGTAATTCACCTTAAATACATATACTCACTTGTGGTAACTATGGTTGTAATTCACCTTAAATACATATACTCACTTGTGGTAACTATGGTTGTAATTCACCTTAAATACATATACTCACTTGTGGTAACTATGGTTGTAATTCACCTTAAATACATATACTCACTTGTGGTAACTATGGTTGTAATTCACCTTAAATACATATACTCACTTGTGGTAACTATGGTTGTAATTCACCTTAAATACATATACTCACTTGTGGTAACTATGGTTGTAATTCACCTTAAATACATATACTCACTTGTGGTAACTATGGTTGTAATTCACCTTAAATACATATACTCACTTGTGGTAACTATGGTTGTAATTCACCTTAAATACATATACTCACTTGTGGTAACTATGGTTGTAATTCACTTGTAATTCACCTGTAAAGCATGCACCTTAAATACATATATTCACTTGAGTTATATAATCTTACACATTACAGTACAATGCAGTCTGAAATTGTCAATACTCCAAGACAATAAGAGATAATGAAGGCATATTTGATGTTGATAGGCATGTTCATGTACTAAGTGCATATGTATATAAATTTGTTAAACAGAATAAACATTATAGACAGTCCCTATACTCATGGAAATGAAAATGAAATCTAATACTGACAGCCATACAATAATGATTATTGCTTCCATACTAACAGAATTCTATGGGATGTTTTTGAACATAAAAATCAAAATGTAATCAGCCTATTGCATTTTATACGAGTATTAAAAGAAACTACTTGATCCTTTAAAGCAGAATATGGATCTAATGCCATATCATCTGTAAGTGAAAAACATTGAATAATTTTATATCCTAAGCGATGATTCTCTATCTTTTAATACTAACACTAAGCCACAAAATATGCCATGACTCCATTTAAATAGGACACCCAACACTAGTTTTATTTGTTGAATCATTTCTTCAGGTAAGCTTAACAAATAAAGCAAGCAGAATATGTTCAAACAATCACAAGGGAATATCACTTCTCTCAGCCTTCTCCACAATCACCTTTAGAGTAAGAGGCAAACATCAAAAGAAGCATGTATTTATTTATTTACTGAGATGAAAATTGTCACAAACTATTCAATAAGTAGAGCTTACAAATTTAAAGTGAAAAGTATGCTAGATTAACAAATAAATAAAAATAAAGACTTAATCTATATAAACTTATTATAGAAACCAAAAATAGATAAAATCATGCTCATAGTGCAAGAGATTCTCCTAGTACAGCTAAAAGTCAAGGGGAAACAAACTCACAAATAAGAATAAAATCAATGTACTAAAGGCATACCCAATGCAAAAGAAAGATCAACTCTGATTCACATCCATATCATCATATATAGTGGCGTAACCAACTGATTCTAATGTTGAATTTCCTGAAAAATAAAAAGAAAAAAAATTAAGTATTGAGACTATTCAATGAAAATATATTTATTTGAAAAATAAATATATGTTGATTTATTCAAGTACCTTGCATCTCTATAGCCCATAACCAACTCTGTGCACACATCAATGCTTCCAAAGTATCTGGATGAAGTCTACTTCGATACGGGCTCACCAACCTACCACTAGTGCTAAATGCAGACTCAGAAGCAACAGTAAAAAAAAAAAAGAGAGAGAGAGAGAGAGAGAGAGGTGTATCTAATGATGATGCTCGTGTATGTTGCTCTCCCACCTTTTCTTTTTTTTTTTGTTTTTGTTTTTGTTTTTTTTTGTTTTTTTTTGTTTTTTTTAATAATAATAATAATAATATATTAATTGAAGGCATGTGCGCTAGGAGACACAACTTTTGGAGAAGCAACCCGTCCGCTTTTCCTTGGGACTGGTCTTCTCCGAGCCATGTACAGGCGTCGCTTTAGAACTGGGTATGAAAACCCCCTTGATTGCAAAAAAAAAACCAACTTCCCATGTTTCTAGCATCACTTTTTCTCCCGGAAGAAGTTATTTTTCCATCCGTCCAAACACGAAAAAAAAAAAAAAACAACGGCTTCCATATCTGGTGGATGCACCGATTCGCGGCGGCGATCGGAAAGCTAGAAGACGAACCAGCGGTCAACGGCGAGGACACGTGTTTCGCCACCGTGGGAACGGAGCTTGCCGTCAGGATAACGGGGGAGGATCTGGCCGCCGTAACGGCAGAGGAACTTGATCGGAGTTGGGCAGCGACGTTGGGTTTGAGGGTGAGGTTTTGTGGAGTGTTGAGAGAAGGTCCGACCATGATGCAAGAGAAACGGGGTCCACGTGGTGTAGATTTATGAGAAAAACGAAGAAGAAAGGTGGCTGACATCCCCAACGGGCAAGGTTCTAAACTTGGTAGAGAGTATGGAGGTGTTCGAGAGCGCAGACGATCTCAGCGAGGTAGAACCGAATGACGGAAGGAGAGAAGACGTGGTCGGTCTGACGGTAGCGGAGAACAGTGAGGTCGCCGCCGGAGCAGTAGGGGACGGCCCAACCCAACAACTGGTGGGACTCGAAGGATCCGAGAAGGGTGGGGAGGAAGGGGTGGGTCGGGTTGGATAAGCGGGGTGAATGTATGTGTAGAGGTCCGGCGGGCGGCCAAGGCGAGGCTGCCGCCCGCCGGTGAAGTGGAATTACTTAGGTTCTCAACCTTGCTCTGATACCATGTAAGTTTTATGTATAAAGAAAGAGAAAGAATTGTGTATTGAAATGTTGTATTGAATGTTTTTGATAGATATTACAAAGGTTCAGTTGAACTCCTCTATATAGGAGAGGAGCCGAAAGTGGCACTAATAAAATAAAATAAAAGGAAAAGAAATATACCCTACTAACAGCTGATATACACTAACATAGAATAATATACTAACATTCTTGAACAGAACCAAAAACCCGCTACCCAAAAAAACCCACTCTCTGTTCTTCTCACCTACGCTCCTCCTCCTTCCCTTACATCCCTTACAACCCTTCGGATTTCAATTTACAACTCGCAAGGGGTAAGATTTGTATTCGGTCGCTGTTGTACCGACGCTGCTCCCTTCGAACTCGCAAGGTAATTTCTAGTCGCTGTCGTTGATTATGTTGTTTCTCTCTCCTCCTTCGAACTCGACCGATGGCTGTTTTTGTTTTTGGCTCATGGTTGTGTCTATTTTTGTTTTTTTCTATGTTAGGTTAGCAATTTTAGGTTGAATACGACACTGCTACTCCTTCGGCTCCCTTCGGTAATGTCAGTATTTTTTTCGGTCTCTCTTTCAAACTCGGCTAATGGCTGTTTTTGTTTTTTGCTCATGGTTATGTCTGTTTTTGTTTTTGGTTGTGTTGGGTTAGCATTTTTAGTTTTTGTTTTTGGCTGCTCCTCCTTCGGCTCCCTTTGAACTCGCACTCGCAAGGTAAGACTTCGAACTCACTGCTCTTGATCGCTGTTGTGTTTTTCCCTTTCTTTGCTCTTCGAACTCACTGTTTGTTGTTTGAATTCTGTTGTCCAATTCTCCAGCTTGAAGGAGTAATTTTTGGTTTTGTAGTTTAGATGTCTGACAGAATGTTTAGATGAGTCCTTGATATTGGTTTGGAATTTTAGGAAATTAGGAGGCATGAAACATAACCCTGCAATTTTTTCATGTTCAAAAATTGTCAATCAGTATGGAAGGTTGAAACATTGATTGTGCTTAATTGCTATTTACTACCTTCAGCTTGGTTAGCTTCTTCATATGTTCATAGAAATGATTTTTCATAGCTATTGATTTTCCTTTGAGTTTAATTTTATTTGGAGGTTTGTATGATTTATCGGCATTCTCAATTGGTCTATGTCAAGCTACCTATGATATTTTTTTATTTGGACTGAATAACTGATGTCATGCAGTAATGAGAAGTTATATGGATGTATGAATACGAGAATGAAAATAAAACTTCTGAATCAATAATATATTAGTTATTCAAAATGTTGTAACTGTACTTGTTTCATGTCTGTCATAATTGTCTTGTTTGCTGAGTACTTATCATAAACTTGCCCCGTTAAAGTAAAATCATGCTATATTATGTATCTATACATGTTGTCTCGTAAATTATGATTACATCACTAGTTCAGGCTGGCTGGCCTATGCTATGAGTCTATGAATTGTTTAAATTAGATTGCAAGTCACTTTTTTTCCCCTTTCTTTTTTTTTTTTAAACTACAATATTATTGAAAAATTAGTGCTATATATTTTAATTAGGTAGGTAGCCTTGATACATCTTTTTCTTTCACTCAAACAAATGTTTATCAGGGCTAAACTTGATAAGAACGAAAGGTTGTTGGATTTTGTTCACAAGCTAGAGGCTGCATGCATTGAGATAGTGGAGTTTGGGAAAATGACAAAGGATCTTGCCATTTTGGTCCGTGGGCGCAAGCAAGTGGCATTCTCCCTTTAACTATCCTATCGAGCATTTCTTTTGCATTTTATTAAAGGAATTACGCTTCTATTCTATTTTTTACGAGTACTTTTCCTCTCTTTTTATTCCCTGTTTGATTGTTATTATTGTTAACCGTTATGAGTGATGTTTTGATTGTTATCTAACAATGTTCCCCCACCCCCCCCGGTTGGGGGATGGAGACGAACCTAGGATCCTGTATAAACACTAGGAATTAGGACATGTTAAGAAAGACTAGCTTACCAACTGAAGAAATAGAAATTAATTGGATTGTTAATTCTCTGAACAGGATACAAATGATGTTGTCAATCAGTTAAGGACTTAGTACATAATTTATTTAATGTAAGAAGCTATGTGATTACAAGAGCTTGAATGAATTTCTTTATAGTTTTTCCCAAGTAAATTGATTTGAACTGTTGGTGGTTGAACGAACAGGAGAAGGGTTTCCCAACTTCCTAGTTTTCATGGTCAATCCAATTGGTTAATTAATGTTTTCAAAATACAATTCTAATTACTAGAGCCATGTTATTGTCGATACTTCTAAGGAATTTCTATGTGATTTTCAGATGCTTTTGGTTTATGCAGGGTATCGAGGGGGTTCTACTTGAACACAGAAGAGTTCATTGATGCTTTTGCACAAAATTTGATCTCAAAGCTTCGGACACCTGCAGTTGTGTAAGTTGATTTGTAGTTCGTGATACGAGATTAGTCATTTCGTAAAACCAAGAGGTAGGGGGTGAGTTGCTTCAACAGGTGATTTTTGGTAATTAGTAGTAAGTCCATCTTTATTGCAATGGCATATTCTAGTTGTTTCAGTGTTCTAGGATGAGTGGTACCTTCTGTGGTTGGGACTTGGCTCTTACCCGAACACCAAATAAAGTTAATCCTCACCCCCAATAATGCACTTTTGTATTTTATTTTAAAAATAAAATAATTGATATTAAGTTTACTATAAAGTTTTTTTTTTCCTTTTTCAGAAAGCTTACTGCAAAGTTCCATGAAATTTGAAACCTACTGAAAAAGTAAAGTTCCTCATGCATCCAGAAATTACATTGTACACACACACATGCACACACAAAAAAAAATCAAGGTTTGACTCTGGTAACCAAACAAATTTTTATCAATTTAAATCTTAAACTCTTTATTCGTTTTCAATATGAACCATTGGGCAAATTATGCTAACGGTCTTTGTAGTTTGTGACCTGTATCACTTTGGTCCCTGTATCACTTTGGTCCCTGAGTTTTCAATTGTGATACATTTGATCCTGAATCATTTGTCCATTTTTGTTATGTAAAAACAAAATGAAAAATAGATATTTTAGTTATTAAATTTAATGAAAAATTATATTTTTGACATTTTATTTATATCTATATTGAGTTTAATAATTAAAATATATTCTTTTTCTATCGATTTTTCTTAACAAAAATAGGTGAATAGTTTAGATTGAAAACAAATCAAAAGATTATAATTTAAATTGATAAAATTAAAAATTTAGAGTTTATTTTTGTTATGAAACTCAAACTTTGATTTTTTGTTGTTGTTGTTGTTGTGTGTAATTGTCCTAAAAAATAAAGATGACCATCTAATTTTCTCCCAGTAGTGCAACTCTGAGTATACTTTCAATTTTTTACTAGATAAAATATAAAAAAGTATTTTTTTTTATTTTGCCTATTTATTTATTTATATAATTCAACACTACTCTTTATTTTATCTATTTATATCCACAAACTATTATTTACTTTTCTGTTCATTTGTTCACCATTCAATGACATAATTCAATTGACCATAATAGTTATGTTCAATTCTGGATTTTCATGTGATTTTCAGTTGGTATGCGAGAATAGTTTTATGCGGCAACAACTGCACACTGTATGTTAATTTATCTCTTACCCTATTGTTGCTATTGCTATTGCTATATATTTATGGATCGTCTTCTATTTCTTGTTATCTGTCTTTACTGGATGCATTTACTTTCGAAAAGAATCAAAGGGTTGATATTTGTTATATTTGTAGAATGATAATATAAATTTCCAGTTTTGGGAACCCTAACTTTACAGGTTCTTCCAGAAGTTATGAACAACTAACAACTGGGACCAGTCTGTGGAGTTGTGCATTTTGTTTATTTTGTGATCTTTTTCTTCTTGCTTTTATGTGTTTCAGATGCCTATTATATCTATTTTATGTCTCAAATTGGATGTCCAAACATATTTCCTCAATGCTCTACACAGACAGCCAGTGAAATTGGTAGCCTGTTTAGTTTTCTACTTATATTTAACTGCTCTACAATATAATAAAAGTCCAATAATTATATTGAACTGCTCTGAAATACAACAAAAGTAAAGTTTCCTCATGGCATTTTCATGTTTTGGATTTGGATGATTTTAATATCTTATAAAGAGGTGGATAATTGTGTGACTCTATTTTTCATTTCTTTCTTCCATTGTAGGTATCCTACACTACATGTTATGGGTTTTCAGTCCAGCAATTCGATTTTATCGGATGCTGTTCGTACTTGTCTCATTCAGATAATCATGAAAGACTATATTACATTTCTTATTTTGTTGTCTAACAAGAATTTTAAAGAGGTGAGGTGTATGTGGTTAGCTTACATACTTGAAATTAGATAATTATGAATGAATTCACATCATGCAGTACTGCATTATGTTGTGTTGATGTGACCTGAAGTATTCTTAACTGATATGGAAAACTTTAGTTCTTATTTTCTATTCATAAACAAGTAACAATGTATTATGACATGAAAAATGGAGTCCTGAAAATGAAAATTCTGTATATTTATTCTTTATTTATTATTTTGGTCGAACTATCTACATTTGAGCAGTAATAATGGTCCCGTCATGCTTTGAATTGGTTACATCCACCTCTATGTATTAGTACAAGGTGCAGTTTGATAACATTATTAGTTTATTGTTTTTTGGTTTTTGTTTTATTTGGTGTACACAAAAAGTTTTGAAAACGAATGAAAACAAAAATAAAGAAATATGTTTGGTGTGTTGTTGGAGGTAGTGGCAAGCGGTGTCCTCGAGCTCACTGTAGAGTCTATAGTGGCTGGCTGGTGGTGGTGGTGGTGGCAATTGTGGGTAGCGGCTGGAGGTGGTGGGGGAAGGAGAAGAGAGTGAGAACTTGTTTCGCAAACAAGTGGAAACACTTTTTTTTCCAGAAATTTTGAAAAATTTGGAACCATTACAATCGTTCAAAGATATTTGTTGAGCTTATCACTATATGAATACATGAACATATGCATATATATATATATAATTGGATGCTGCCAATGACTTAAACTTCTCTCACATCTTTTTACGTGCATGTGAGAGAAGTGCGTGGCACCATATTTTGGTGCGTGACATGTTCATTTCCCTTTATATTTATTAGTTTTTGGTATATGTTTGGTATTGAACCATGAATATTGTAACTAAGATTTAATGTCAATTTTGTTAAGTGAGCTCTTGAGTTGCTTGTATTCTTTATTTATGTTTGCTTGATTGCTATATATCTAGAGCGTTCCTAAACTTTTATGAATTAAAACAATGTTGGTAGTTTATTCAGTTAGTAGTATTTTGAGCAATTTTGTTTTGATGTATTTAGATGACAGACAGATGGGGCGCGTTTCATTTTATTTAAAGGTTTTAAAAGTCCTTTCCTTTACTATGAGAGGGATGTGGATCTTGGAATGATTGACAATGGTATTTTTCTTTTTCTTTTTCTTTTTTTTTATGTCTATGAATTTCTTTGTGCAACAATGCAACCATGAATGGTGTTCTTGCTGAATAGTCGAACTGTTTGCGCTTTCTACATTAACATAAAAGGGTGCCCCTTTTTTTTTTTTTTTGGTTTCTTTGTTACAAACTAAGAGAATTGAATGAGAATTAGATTGGAGAATTAACAAGGTATGGAGAGATAAATTCATCAGTAAAAATGTTGCAATATGTGCTGATTGCCCCAGGATTTGATAAACAACAGCTGGTGTTAAAGGCTCTACCCAAAAAAGAATAATGATTGGTCCTCATTTTCTGATTTCTGTTCCTAGTTGTGTGAATAACCCTTTTTTGGATCATTGTTGATTTTGGACATATCTTTCCAGTTCCTATTTATACTATGCCTTTTGCTAGAACAATGGCTACTGTTCTTAATACCTCAAGAAATATTTTTGTCGCTGAGTCGTTGGTTTTTGTACTTATGTGAAGTTTGCTTTGTCATGCAGACAAGAAATGTAGCAGGGTTAGTTACTCCAGCTATTGTCGCGGGTTTAGGTGCCTAACACATACATTGGGCACCCTCGTCCCTGTGATAGGAGCAAGTGGATTTGCTGCAACTACAGCTGCAACTGCTATAGGAATTATTATCAGTAGTTTTAGATAATCTCTTAATAGTTGTCGATATGTTTAGAAAGTTAGATATGCATAGTTTTGGATGGTTTAAACTTTTTGTATAATTTAGAACGTAAGGATATAGATTTCAAATGTTTGGAATGTATAGACAATTGTTGAATGTTTATAATTTATGGATATAGTTTCTTTTTGATGTTTCAAATAATATTTTGGTGGTTGATTGATGTTTTGTGATGCTTGTTTGTAATATTTGTTATATTGTACAAAATTGGTCAAATAAAACCTGTTAGGAAAAAAAAAAAAAGCCCTGCATATTCTACGGCAGGCATAATAAGTCGTTGTATTACATATTTTACGGTGCGCAATCAGTGTCGTAAAAAAAGTAACAACGACGCACAAAATCTGTCGTTAAATAATTTTTAACAGCGTACTATAGTATGTCATAGAAAAGGTAACGACGCACAAAATCTACCATTAAATAGTTTTTAACGGCGTACGAAGTATGTTGTTGAAAATGAATGACTTTCCATGATTAGTCATAATATGACGCGCGCTGCATGTTCTAGAAGGGTTTTTATGGCGTGCATTGCGCGACGTAAAAAACCCTTTTTTGTTGTAATATTAGTTATGAGATTTTTGTGATGATCAAATTTGTAATGAACTTAGTTATCAAGTCTTATTATCACGTTTTTGCTATGAATCAATTTAATTTTGATTATGGCACAAATTCACTATTACAAACAATTGTGACTGAAATTTTAAATACATGTATCTTTGGGAAGTGTATATAGTAGCAATTACCTAACTATAATAACCAAACTGAAGAGTAGCAGTCTGTTGAAGATAGTTTGGTTGTTTGCGATTGTTGGGGCTTGTTGATTCTGTGCGAAGGGAAAAGTGTCAGGTGGGTGAGAGAGAACACTTTTGTCACAGTGAATCCATAATGTAAGATTTTTTCTAGAACCCATGTGCACTAACTCTGTTGCCTCAGGTTTAACTTTACTGATATGTATGGTTTGTGAGCAACATAAATACAAACAAATAAAGCTAACCTTGTAGCTTACTTTACTTGAATATATTATTTATTCATATTTTTATGTCCAAGGACTACTTTTGTACTACCATACTCTCTCTCTTGTATCATCCTCCACAACAAATAATCTAGTTTATTCCACCACCTACTTCAGATATACTTCATTCATTCCCATGTTATTTTTGTATCTAAAATCTCTCATCTATTTGGTCTTTCTCTTGTTTTTCTAATGGGGAATTTTCAAAATGTTTTTCAAAATTTATAGTTTAATTTTTCGGGTGTTTTAAAAACCTTGCATGTTTTCTTTAGAAAGTATGAAATAAGCTTGAGGATTTTGTCCCACATTAGAAAGAGAGCAAAACATGGAGCACTTAATAAAGTGCTACATGAAATATTCTTTTGAATATGGAATTATGGGATGAAAGCTAGTGTGCATGCACCCACACCGCAAGGATGGTACACACGCGCGTCGCGTGGGCTGTGTGGCGTTTGATGGCGCACTTTGCACGGACGCATCGGCGCAAGATGCGTCCGCAAGGCGCCATGAGTGCGCTTTCCTATTTACGACGTGGCATGGGTGACATCGAATCGGCGTAAGGCGCCATGAGGGCTCTTTCCTATTTGCGACGTGGCATGGGTGACGTGGAATACAATCAGCTCCATGTGGCGGTGACGTGTCGTCCGTTGGCAATGAGTCAACCAACCGATCAAACGGTTGTGTATCCGATCTGGAGCGAGTTGATCATAGCCATTGATTGGAGATGCGCGTGATCATGCGGATGAGATGGCACCTAATCGTGATCAAGTGTGGTTAGTCAAGGCATCTATTCAGTGTCAGAATGATCTGCACCATAGATCGTAGATCCAACGGTCAGATCTGATCGAATGCGATCAAGGGACATGACCATTCGATCAGATCCATCAAGGCCTATAAATAGGCTACAAAATCAGCCATTTCATTCTATCCAAAATTCTGAAAAGCATTCCAATCCTGCAATTCTTTCTCTCTCTCTCTTCCTTTTGATTTTGAATTTTCGATCAAGAGTTTCTTAAGCAAATTTCTGTTTTTCATATTGATAATCAAGTTCTGTAAATTTGTTTGTCAGTGTCTTGGTTTCTTGATTATATCAAGAGTGTTCTGATCTATTATCGTCAGTGCAGATGCCGGTAGACTAGATCTTTAGATCAGACTTCATTGTATCCTGGAGGCAAATTTGTTATAACTCCCTGCACACCTTTTGGTGGGTACAAATATTGTCTTTAGGAAAGCGACTTAGTAACGCAACTTGAAACATTAATTTTCTGTTCTATATAGACAAGATCATTGCCAAATTTTGAAGACCCGAAGATCACCATTTGAAGAATTCAAGGCCATTTGTTACAACAATCTAAAGACAATATTTTGAAATGGTGATGTCTATTCAGAAAATGACTCAAGATTTCATGAAGCTTAACCATTTTGATGGAGGAAATTTTCGACACTGGCAAAAGAAGATGCATTTTTTGCTCACCACTCTCAAAGTGGTCTATGTGCTAACTACCCGTATCCAACGGAGCAAGAAGACGAGACTGTGGAGCAAACTCGTGCCAGAACCAAATGAGAGAATGACGACTACATTTGCCGATGACATATTCTAAATGAGCTATTAGACTCTCTATTCAATGTGTATCAACATCTGGAAATGGCAAAGCAACTCTGGGACTTATTACAGTCAAAGTACCTCACCGAGGATGCCACTAGTAAGAAATTTCTTGTTAGTAATTTTATGCGTTTTACAATGATTGATACAAAGCCCATTATGGAACAATTCCATGTGATCCAACATATTCTAAGTCAATTTCGACAAAAGAATATGAACATGGATGAATCTATTGCAGTTTCATCTATAATAGAGAAACTACCATCTTCTTGGAAGGATTTTAAGAAAACTCTGAAACACAAAAAGGAAGATCTTACTTTAGAAGAATTGGCTCAACACCTCCGAGTTGAGGAATAGTCAATGTTACTTGAAAGTAAAGATAACCAATTGGCTTAAACATCCAAGATCCACACGGTGGATGATGGTAAGAGGTTCAACAAAAAGAAGCATAAGCATGAACCCCAACCGGAGAAAAATGCTAAGAAGCTGAAAGATGCTTGCTGGCACTATGGCAAGCCAGGGCACTTCAAAAATGAATGCCGATCATACAAGAAGAAGCCAGAAGCATCAAATGACAAGAACAAGTTTGTGGCTGTTGTATCCGAGGTGAGCATGCTCGAAGATGGTAGTGACTGGTGGATTGACTCAGGAGCAACAAAGCACGTCCGCAACGACAAGAGTCGTTTCACTACTTATGAACAAGTGAGTGATGGAACAGTTCTCTACATGTGCAACTCTTCAACTGCTGTTATCAAAGGCAAAGAGACGGTGGATCTAGAGTTTACATCTGGAAAAATCCTAAGTCTTAATGATGTTTATCATGTACCTGATGTTAGGAAAAACCTTGTATCTGGAAGCCTGCTTAATAAGCATGGTTTTAAGTTAGTATTTGAGTCGGACAAATTTGTCCTGTCTAAGGGTGTGATTTTTGTTGGGAAGGGCTACATGTATCAAGGAATATTCAAACTTAACGTTATCAATAATACATTTGTTTCTGCTTATATTGTTGATTCTCTTTCTTTATGGCATACTCGTTTATGTCATGTTAATACTAAGAAAATGCATGATATGGTTAATTTAGATTTAATTCCTAAGTATAACATTGATATGTTTGAAAAATGTAAATATTGTGTGCAATCAAAAATTACTCGCATTCTATTTCCTAAAGTAGATAAAACCACATCTCTGCTTGAACTTGTGCATAGTGATGTATGTGACATGCATAGTACCCCCACTAGAGGGGGTAATAAATATTTTGTAACATTCATTGATGATTTTTCTAAGTACTTTCATATCTATCTTTTGCATTTAAAAGATGAGGTGCTTGATAAATTCAAAATTTTTAAGACAGAAGTAGAAAATCAATGTAATGTCAAAATAAAGAGACTTAGGTCTGATAGAGGCGGTGAATACCATTTTCCAAAATATTGTGAAAATGTTGGTATTATTCATGAGAAGTCTGCACCCTACACACCACAACAAAATAGAGTAGCTGAAAGAAAGAATAGGGAATTAATAGAAATGATTAATGCTATGCTTTCTTATTCCAGTTTAAGTTCTGGTTTTTGAGGTGAAGCCTTGCTCACTGCCTGTCACATACTCAATAGAATTCCTCTCAAGGGAAGAAATGTTACTCCTTATGAACTTTGGAAAAACAAGAAACCTAATCTTGGTTACTTGAAAACATGGGGTTGTAGAGCAATAGTCAGATTGCCCGAACCTAAAAGGAAGAAATTAGGTGAAAAAGGAATTAAATGCATATTCCTTGGCTATGCTATACATAGCAAAGCATATAGGTTTCTGGTAGTAGAGCCCAATGATTCAATGGAAACAAATACCATCATTGAATTACGTGATACGGTATTTTATGAGAATCGTTTCACAACCATTCCAAGGTTGGATTCTAATCAAGAAAATGAATAAACTCCTTTGATGTCTACAAAGGAAAGTGAATGACATAAACCTATTGAGCCTAATGAACCTAATGAGCCTATTGAGCTAAGGAGGAGTAAGAGGGCTAGGACTGAAAAGTCATTTGGCCATGATTTCATTGTTTACCTTGTAGACGGAACTAGAAAAGCTTATTGTAAGCAAACAATGATTTCTTTGAATATGGATTCAGATCCATTAACCTTTGAGGAAGCTATGAAGTCTCAAGATGTTGCTTTCTAGAAAGAAGTAATAAACGATTAGATGGATTCTATCATGGGTAACAATACTTGGATACTTGCTGATTTGTCACCTGGATCCAAACCAATTGGTTTTAAATGAATTTTCAAAAGGAAAATGAAAGTTGATGGCACAATTAACAAGTTCAAAGCAAGATTAGTTGCTAAGGGTTTTACTCAAAAGGAGGGTATTGATTATTTTGATACATATGCTCCAGTGGCGAGAATTGCCACCATTCGAGTGTTGATTGCCTTAGCCTCAATCTATGAGCTTGAAATCCATCAAATGGATATTAAGAC